GTGGTTGGCAGTTTCGGTACATACGTCACAGGTGTTATTCTCTAGAAAGGCTGAGGTTTCCCAGTGGAATAGGATTTTAAACTGCTTTTTTTTTTAAAAGATTTTATTGGGGAATTGGGGGAGGGGAACCGCATTGGGGAATCGGGGAAGGGGAACAGAAAAGTTGCTGTCCTTTTGTTCTTCAGTCTAGTTGTGGAAGACGTCACTTCACTGGCCCAAGTTGGCACCATCATTGCGCTCTTCCGGGTGAGGCAGATCAGTCGCCGGCCTCTGGATGGCCGCTCACCGCTCACCCTGGCTGCCGGCTACACACAGTAGCCTATGGCAACCCACGGTAGCAGGGGCTGCAGCCCAGTCCCAGTTCGAGCTGCTGTTCAGCATCTTAGCTGCAGAGGGCAGTGTCACTGGCCCTCATGTGGAATCCGAACCGGGGCCCTCTGGCATCCCAAGCCAGCTCTTAACCAATGCGCCACTCGGCTGGCCCGCAGTTTGTGGTTCTTATGTTCTCTTTACTGGTAAGATTGCTTGTTGAGTATTGGGTCTGCTTTGGGGAGCCACATATATAAAGAGAGACAGAAATTGGGGCATTATTTAGAGGACGTTAACGAGGCAGATAAAACATGGGTATATAGAAATCAGACAGATATAAATTGTGTCCTGGGTTCTACTACTTACACCGGTTGTGGTAGCTTGGCAAAGTCAATTCCTCTGAGTTTGTTTCCTTTAAAATAGGGCAGAATAATAATACCAATCTGGAAGATTGTCATAAGGATTAGAGCTAACCTAGGTACTCAAAAGGTTCTGCAACCCAAGTCTTATTCGAGAGGGGTTTAATGACTAGATATAGTCCCTGTTTTGAAGGAGGTTACATTTTAGTAGGGCAGATAACTGAGTAAATCCAAGATTGTAATACAGCCTGTTAAGTATTCAAAGAGTTGACCTGTGGAAAGGGGGTAAATGTATTCATAGAGCCTCCAGTAAGTGCAGAATGAGCCACTTTGTTGTGTAGCAATAGAATGGGTTTCCCTAGGAGGAAGTAAATTCCCCTCAGTGAGTGTATATATATATATATATATATATGACAAGTATGATTACTTGTCAGGGATACTCACAGAAGGCTTTTTATGAGTGAGAGGTTGGACTAGAGGAAGGGTAGGCAAACAAACTGGCAGCTGGGAGCCAAATCCAGCCAGAAATCTGTTTTGTTTTTTGTGTTTTTTTTTTAAATAAATTTTATTGAAACACACCACACCCAGTTATTTATGTATCGTTTATGGCTGCCTTCCTGCCACAGTGCAGAGTTCACTAGTCGTGACAGACCATAGGGTCTGCCAAGCCTAACATATTTACTGTCTGGCCCTTTATGGGAAAAGCTTGCTGACCCTTGGACTAGATAAATGCTTCACAACCTAAATTACTTTGTGAACTAATAACTTTCCTAAATTCTCTTGTCATGAGAATTTCAAGTGTCAAGAGGGAAGAAGGCAAGATTTGAAATGAGATGGTCACAGTTTTTCTTGTTACTGAAAGGAATGAAGACAGGAAAAGAGTTGATTAACCTCCCAAGATCTGATTTTATAAACAGATGCCTTTTGGTATAAGATAAAGTATTTGTATGCCACCGGGGCTAAAGGTGTCTCTACCCAACTAGAATTGGGAGGTGGTCTTGGTGTAGTGGGAAAGACTGGTTGTGTTAATCATTCTCAGCTCCAGTTTCCTCATTTGTAAATGGAGCCTCCCAGAGTTTTTTAAAGATTGAAGCTAATGTGGGCTCGGATGTAGCTACTAACTATTACTGTGTTTCATAGAGCACTTCATTGGAGTGTGTGTCACACCAATCAGAATTTTAATTGGGGAAGTATAACTCCCTCCCTCGAGGGCTACAGGTTGGGGTAGTATGCAAAAACCTTTCTTGGTGTGGACTAGGTCTTTAGATCTTGTGGCAAGTAGGAGATAAATAGATCTCATTAGCAAATATGGGAATATGTTGTGGTTGGCAGTTTCGGTACATACGTCACAGGTGTTATTCTCTAGAAAGGCTGAGGTTTCCCAGTGGAATAGGATTTTAAACTGCTTTTTTTTTT